CCGCGGGCTTGGCCGCGCTCACGCTCGCACCCCCGGGGACTCGCCCGCGTCCACCGACGGCGTCGCTCGGCTCGGCCGCCGCCGTACACAGACCTCGGCTCAGACCTCAGCTCCCTCCCGCGCGGTGCCACCGCCTGACAATGCCAACTCGTGGGGCTCTTTATAATGCCGGAGCCGGGGACCACCTCGTAACAAGACACATTCCCATTGGCTGGAGCCAACCGCCACTCACCACTGTCCTGGCGTCTCATTGGCTGCTGCCGCGCGCGCGCTCTAGATCCGGGCGGGCTTTGTCCTCATTTTAGAACGCGCGCGAGTCAGAACCGCGTACAGTTCCGGTCATCCGGCAGGGTCCTCCAGTGTCCCATTGCTGCCGGGGAAAACGTGGTGGTCTGTCATCCCTTCCACACACCCCGTCCCACACTAACCGCCCCGGCCCCTCAAAAGGGGATAATGAGCCGGAGGCAGCCCCTGAGTCCAAGGTCGCCCGGAGGAAGTAGCCGACTCTTGGCTTCCAAGATAAAGGGTGCTAGGGTCATCCGAGGCCTTCCGCGCGGCCTCCTCCGAAGCCTCGGTGTCCGGAGAGGCCGGTGCTCTTCCCCCGTCCAGTGATGCTGGCTGGTGCGGTCCGTGTTGGTCTGGCGCCGTGACCGTTGGACTGTGAGGTTCCCGGTTTCAGTTTAACACCGATAGATGCCTAACATCGCATTCATGTTTCGTTTTGCTTTTATTTTTTATTGATTTTTTTTACGATGAGTGGGTTTTGTTTGTTTGTTTTTCTTTCCGGAGCTGAGGACCGAACCCAGGGCCCACAGGCCTTACCTCCTAACCCTCCTTTTTTCACCCCCTCTGTGCCGGGATTATGCTGCACCACCACCATGCCTGGCTTAATTTCATTTATTCTAGAAGACTTTTTTTAAAAAATAAGGTCTTTTCGCTGGACGGTGGTGGCGCACACCTTTAATCCCAGCACTCGGGAGGCAGAGCCAGGCGGATCACTGTGAGTTCTAGGCCAGCCTGGTCTACCAAGTGATATCTAGGACAGGCTCCAAAGCTACGCAGAGAAACCCTGTCTCCGGGGGAAAAAAGGTGACATGTACCACCCTGTCTAGTCTAACAATTTGTTTTGGGGGAAAATACTGTTAAATCATGTATGAGGTGTTGTTAAAGAGGGCTACTTCTCTTTTAAGCTTTAACCACAAGGCTTTAAATAAAGGCCTGAGTTATCCCATGATTTCTGTGTATATGTGCATACACAGAAATGTTTGAGTGTGAGCACAAATGTGCTCGGGTCTGCATGTAGGTGTCAAAGTGTCAATCTTCACTTTCCTTTTTTTTTTTTTTTTTTTTTTTTTGTTTTTAGTTTTTTTCAGACTCGGTTTCTCTGTGTAACAGCCCTGACTATCCTGGAATTCACTCTGTAGAGACCAGGCTGGCCTTGAACTCACAGAAATCCACTGTCTGCTTTCCAAGTGCTGAGATTAAATCAAATCCACGTGCCTCTGCCTTCCAAGTGCTGGGATTAAAGGTGTGAGCCACCACAACCAGTGAAAATATTTTATTATGTGTGAGCATAGTGTGTTAGTCTAGCCAGGCAGTGGTGGCTCATACCTTTAATCCCAGCACTTGGAAGGCAGAGACAAATGGATCTCTGTGAGTTTGAGGCCAGCCTGGTCTACAGAGAAAGTTCCAGGACAGCCAGGGCTACACAGAGAAACCCTGTCTCAAAAAACAAACAAACCTGGCCAGGCGGCGGCAGTAGTGGTGCACACCTTTAATTTCAGCACTCGGGAGGCAGAGCCAGGCTGTGAGTATGAGGCAGCCTGGGCTACAGAGTGAGTTCTAGGAAAGGTGCAAAGCTACACCAAGAAACCCTGTCTCGAAAAACCAAACAACAACAAAAAGTGTGGTAGTCAAAAGACTTTGTGGAGTGAGAGTCGTTCTCTCTTCCATTTTTCTGAGTTCCTGGGATTGAACTTCTGTCTCCAGGCTTTCACAGACAGGCCACTCAGTTTTCTCACTAGCCCTCCACCATGGTTTGAGACTTTGAGACAGGGTCTCCTTCCCTGTTTCATCTCCCCAGGCTAATGGGCCCACAAACTTCGGGAGACTGTCTCCTCCCTTGTCCATGCAGAAGTGCTGGGATTACAGATTCGTGCTGTGGGCTTCAGCTGTGGGTTCTGGAGACCTGAACTCGGGGCCTCATGCTTATGCTTTGCCCACTGAGCCCTCTCCACTTTTTTTTTTTTTTTTTTTTTTGAGACAGGATCTCTCTACCTATCTCTGGCTATCCTAGAACTCTATATAGGCCAGGCTGGGCTCAAATTTACAGAGATCAGCCTGCCTCTATCTCCTGAGTGCTGGAATTAAAGGTGAAAAAGTGTCACCATGCCCAGCTTTTTGTTTTGTTTTGCTTTGTTTTTTTAGAGACAGGGTTTCTCTGTGTAGCTTTGTAGCCTTGGAACTCACTCTGTAGACCAGGCCAGCCTCAAACTCACAGAGATCCTCCTGCCTCTGCCTCTTGAGTACTGGGATTAAAGGTGTGCGCCACCACCACCTGCCTTTTTTTTTTTTTTTGACTGGGTCTCACTGTCTGCCTCACAGACACCAGATTCTGCTTAATTCCCTAGGCAAGTCTGTCCAATCAAGCAGAAAAGATTAACCATCACTGTCTTGATAGGAAGCCTCTCACACACACAGCCTTTTATCCCCATCACCACCCTCATCCTTCCCCAACAGCAATGAGGACCAAGGTTATGGCCACAAAGGCTGATGAGAAAAACCACCCAAACAATGATGACAACCAGGCTCAAAGTCCAGTCACCCCAGAGTATGGGAGCTGAAGCTGAGTTGGTGGAGCGTAGACATGAGGCCTGAAGCATGCATCCCCAGCACCCAGGTGAAAAAACTGGGTGTGAAGCACAGACTTTAATCCTCACACTGAAGACAGAGACAGATGGATCGCTGTGAGTTCAAGGCCAGCCAGGGCCAAACAGTGAGAAAGAAAGTGAAGATTGACACTTTTGTCTGACTTCTTCATGCAGGCCCTACCTTGTCTCAAAAAAAAAAAAACAAAAACAGAAAATGAGTGCCTTGGGGCTGGAGAAACAGCTCAGCTCTTACAGAGGACCAGGTGCAATTCCCAACCACCTGTAACTCCACTTCTGACCTCCTTGGGTACCATCAACATATGTGGTGCACGTACATCCATGCAGGCCAAACAGTCATACACATAAAATAGAAATAAAAAGTTGGACATGGCAACCCTTATCTGTGTCCCTAGAGCAGTGGAGACAGGCAGGTCCCCAGAGCTCACTGGCCAGCCAGTCTAGCCAATCAGTGAACGGGTGAACACCATGTTCAGTGAGAGACCTTGTCTCAAAAGATAAGGTGGAGAGGGGCTGAGAATATAATTCAGTTGATTTGCCTTCCAAGTCTAAGGCCCTGTGCTGGATCCCCAGAACCACCAAAACCAAACAAACAGCAAAAAGATAAGGAGGAGTGCATGGAGGAAGACGCCCAGTCTTGCAAACCCCTGGCCTCCGCACACATACACCATACGCACAGGTGTATACACACGGAGCAGCCTCAAGACAGAGCTGGGGGCGTACATTCACTTAACCTACATGGATTCATGGAGCACAGTTCAGAAATACTTTCAATGACGTGAATTCTGAGGACATCTTTGGGGGAAGTGCTTCAAAGCCCATAACATGGGTCCAGCAATTATTGGCACCTTGAAAGAATGTTCTGCAGGGCAGGAGAGGTCACTCAGCAGCTAAGAGCACTTGCTGCTTTTCCGGAGGACTCTGTTGGTTCTCAGTGTCCAGCTCCAGGGGGGACTAAGCTTCTGACCTCTGCCGGCACTTGGGCTCACTTGTACATACGTAT